AAAAAATGTACAAAAAATAAATACATTTTTACCCGGAATTCAAACCAGACTTTTACTAATACAATTTGAGAAAAGTTCTTAAAAGCAATTTAGTTTAGTGCCAAAAGCAACTGTGAAATACTTTTGTTACTTAAATGAATGATGGTGCTGATAAATAGTGGTGGGTCCTGGGTTGGCGGGATGCCCGCGTTGAAATAATGTATTATTTTAGTTTAATAAGGTTTTTAAATAATCCTGCAAATACTCTCATGCTTATTTCAGATGTTATTAATTAGATGGAATATATAGTGGATTGAAAATACTTCATTTCTTAATATTAATCGAATAATCGCACTAGCATGATTGATAAACAATAGGTCCTAAGTTCTGTACAAATCATTGTATGACATAGGCGTACCCAGAGATCATGGATAATTTTTCTTTTAATATTGAATATTAAAAAAAATAGGTGTTATAGTCTTTAAACAGTTTATGTACTATACCACAGATTAACTGCAGCCTACATTTCAATAGATTTCAAGCATAATGCTACATTACAATAACCAACACTACAAATAACTTTTTCTTGCTAACCATTAAGATGCAAGTTATGCCGACGCACGAACGAAGTCTCTAACATATTTTATCACCATAGCAAATATGTGTTAACCTTTATTTACGACACAAACTAGTATCCAAGTAAAATATAAGACCCACACTTGACCCCATTCCTAACGGTATTAATATATTTCATCGAGATATTATGAACAACTGTCTGGAATAAACTGTTATTGCGTTTAACTTGAAATAAAACATAACGTAACATCACGCCTTTTATCCCCGAATGGGTAGGCAGAGGTGTACATTATGCCACTGTACGGTGTAACACCCACTTTTCACTATTTATGTTATGAGTCCCATATAATAGGGGGTGAGTCTATTGCCATATACCGTGCATAATTCCAGACTCCGTGCATGTGAATTTTTTGAAAAACCCAGTAATACTTTGCCCGACTCGGAAATCGAACCCGAAACCCCTTGCCCGGCAGTCGCACTTACAACCACTCGGCCAATGAGGCAGTCAATAAAACTCGCCAAGTTATTAATTTCTATTGATAGTTGAGGGTAGACGACTAATTTTTATTTTAATGTCCGTCTGATAGATTATTTAAAAACATTAGACACGTATTTTTTATTTCCTCACAGAAACGAATAGTTTCGAAGATATATTGATTTGAAATGTCGCGTGACGTCACTTCGCAGTACATTTTATACTAAGAAATGACGTTTTAGCCCCCACTCCTAAACTTTGATTCGTTTTATCTAAGTATTGTTTTCTTATACGACAAAATAAAAAAATACGTGTCTAATATTTTTTCATTACCTAACTTACGGACTAATTATATTTTTAATTTTCATACCCTGTCATCATCCCCATTAGTAACCGACCCTACTCTTTCTGTGGATATCGTAGGGTATGGGTATTGTTCAAGAATAGCTCATACTCCAACAGCACCATGTCACAAATTTTTAATGGCAGGTTCTTGATTCTTGATATCCCTTTTTTTGCGAAAACTTAAAGTTAGACTTGCTCAAATAATCCCAAAACTAAAATTTTTCCCTACCCCATGATTGCAACGGAGGTGACAATAATAACAGTTCAATATTTACCAACTGGACATTCAACCTTACAAATAACTAATTGTAGTAGTTTTTCCTTACTGAAATGTGGTTCATCTGTCTTTCACGTTGCAATGGAGCATTTTGGTACATTGTTTCTGTATCTGGAGATAGCAAGGATGCATTAGTGACGAAAATCATTCAATGACTTCTCCCGCCCAGGTGAAGCGAGAGTATCAGACTCTTACTGACTAAAAACCACCCCGTTCCTACTCCTGCACTTCGAGCTGGCTTAACCCGTTCCGCGGCTCCGTATCGGCATCAGCCCTGTTGAGCCCCATATGTGGTGGTCTGATGGCTCTTTGAGGTACGCGCGGAACGCGACGCGCCGTACGCTCGGGTCTGGTTCTGGGGGCTTACTCTTAAATCCAATTCCGATCAATCGACATTGGTATTGTGAAATTTCGTACTCTTGAGTTGCAACACTTGCGCCCATTGCATCCCTATTGTGTTGATATTGAATGAACTAAATGGTATTGAAATTGGCTTTATATTCCGTACTCTGAATACTATTTTAACAGCTACGATAGGGATTGTATAGAGTTGACATTGAATAATTATTTTGTTGTTAATGAATAATGAATATTGAATAATGATTTTATTGGATTGAAATTGCATTGACATTGAGATTGCTTTCAAGAGTAAGCACCCTGGTCGGGTGGTGAGTCACCCGTGCTCGCCGCCCGCAGGCCCGTGCTTACGGTGGCCAGAGGTCGTATAGCAACGAGGCTGAAGGATAGTTTTAACAAAACTTTTATCTTCCTTCTATTTGTACAAGGGTGAAGTCGTGAGCTCAAAGGTAGTATTCCTTTATGACGTCACTGTGTAATCTTTACATCAAAACACTCTTGTTGAGTGTCAAACTATGACAGCACCCTGACCTAAGCAAATAGGCGTGTTCTTGTATAAACATGTCTAAACATGTTGGTTCTATAAGTAAATAAATATGTAGGTATGTCTGTGTATACAGGTCATACAGTATGGATTCAATCGCTTATTGTTGGCTGAAGGTTAAGGTCTGAAAAGTGGGTGTTGGCTGGCCTTACTTGAGGACTTTTGAGTAAGTTCTTGTGCACTAAGATTTGTTTTTTATTTGTGTTTGTAGGTATATTTGTAGTCTGAAGGTTAAAAAATAATAGATATCTATAATACCTAATCGTATTACGGACGTACGGAGAATCGGGAAATTACCTGATGCTCCGTACCTCTTTTTGTCTTATGTTTTTTTAGTTAGCTAACGAATTAACTTTACATTGTTCAGTGACTCTTGTAATATAGTACTTCATTATACGTTTTCGATAGTATTTGACGCATTGTGAACTTTCTCCTTCTTTGAGACTAGTTAAAAAGTAATCTTCTTCCATTATATCGCTGCGAAAAATCCCAAAATTATTACTTTCAATTTCAAATATGTCAAGAATGTTTTGCCTAGATACTATCTCGATAACTTAATAGTCAAAGTGCTAATTTTTCACCCTTACCCAATTCCTGATATTGAGAATTATGGTGCCGGTCGGAGTAAAGCTATCTGCTAACGAACAACTGAATCGTTTTATTAGTTTTACTTTATTTAATAAATGCTTGGAAAATTTTGATTTTTGAAATTAGTCTGTTATTTTTACAAGATTACTTATTTACACTGTCTAGTGTGCCGAGTGGTCACAAATGCGACTGCCGGGCAAGGTCTCGGATCCAATTTCCGGGTCGGGCAAAGAACTACTGGGTTTTTAAAAAAAATCTCAGTACTAGCACGGCGTCCAGAATTGTGCCCGGTATATGGCAGTAGACTCACCCCCTATTACATCGGACTCATAACATAAATATTGAAAAGTGGATGTTACATTGTACAGTAGCATTAAGTGCAGTAATATGCACCTCTGCCTACCCCTACGGGGATAAAACGCGTGATGATAAGTTTTACAAGACATTGTAATTCTAGGATTGAGAATTTTGTATAATTCGACCTGGAGGTTGACCTCGAAATCTTTCCGAATGACTTCATTCTTTCGTAAACTTCTGTCTTTCAAACTTAATAGGTCTTAACTCATACATTGTTACTATATAACATAACATAACATCACGCCTTTTATTCCCGAAGGGGTAGGCAGAGGTGCACATTACGGCACTTAATGCCACTATATAATGTAACACCCACTTTTCACTATTTAGTTATGAGTCCCATGTAATAGGGGGTGAGCCTATTGCCATATACCGGGCATATTTCCAGACTCCGTGCTAATACTGCGATTTTTAAAAACCCAATAATACTTTGCCCGACCCGGGAATCGAACCCGAGACCTCTTGCCCGGCAGTCGCCCTTTCGACAACTCGGCCAATAAGGCAGTCAGTGAGTGTTACTATATACTTCCTAAATAGTCTATTAGGCAGGATCAAAAACAGAATTTCTTTAAGCTCAATATTTTATAACATAGCGTCCTCCGTCGTTGGCAAAACCCCTAAAATGATTTTACAAGGAAACTCGATTCTATTAGATTATACATTTTTATCGGCGGACCCTTTACTCGTTACAAATCATTGGGTATTATCGAAGTTATGCTTCGGTGAAGGCTTCCAAGGTTCGACAGATACTGTTAAGTAACTTACGTACTTTACTCTCTGCTGAGTGATTTTGACGATTATTGTTGAGTTTAATAATCAAGGGTTTAGTAACAGAAATTGCTCTTTTAGTTTCGTTTCTCTAAAACATTTTTCAGTCCAATGATCTTAACAGGGTATTTGGTTATAGGATTTTCGATTCTTCTAGTACTATCACTCAGTATTAATTTAAAGTGTGAGAGAGCCATGCTTTGGCACGTATGGGGCGGCTCGACTGGAGAGATACCACGGCCTAACAAAAAACTGACGTGAAACAACGCTTTTCGTTGTGTTTCGTCGTTTTAGTGAGGTTACCGGAGGTCCAACCACCCCACCCCTCCTCAGTCTCCCTAATCCCGGAATCCCCTACAATCCTCAAAATCTCAATTCCCAAAAGGTCGTTTACACACTTGTAACGCCTCTGGTGCTTCAGGTGTCCAAAGGCGGTGCCGATTGCTTACCATCAGGTGATCCGCCGGCTCGTTTACCCCATAAAAAAATTGTATCTTATGTTCTCTGGACATACACTGTCACCCTAGAACCTACAAGAGACGCTCCCTTTATTTGTTGTACTATAAGAATTCCACATGGTCTAGTTTTTCTTTTCAAAAGATAAGCATATTTAGAATATTTCCTACAGTCATCACTATTTTCCTATTATCTATTTTCCAGTTCTACTATGAAGGTTTACAGTTTGAGTTCAAGAAGTCCAGACCAGCCCTGTCATTTCCATGGGTGCTTACGTCATGCGCTGCGGTTCGCCAGGTGGTTGGGGTTCTTTCCAGTTCAGGGTCTTGGAGAACCTAGACCTGAAGGTATAAGGTAAGCTAAGATTTCATCCCTTCTGTTTTCTTCACAGTCTTTCTTCTAGCATTTTGTATTTGTTTTCAATTGAAAACAAACAAGCTCTTAAATAGCAGTCAGCAGTCATATTCAGTCAAAAAGTTTCAGTTTTTTATGGGATAAGCCGGTAAACGAGCACACGGATTACCTGATGATAACCAATCGCCGTCGCCCATGGACACCCAAAACACCAGTGGCGTAACAAGAGCGTTATCGGCCTTTTGGGGATTAAGAATTTGAGGATTATTATTGGTCATTCAGAGATTGAGAAGATTGCGGAAGGGGGTAATTGGGCCTCCGGTAACTTCACTCACACGACGAAAGCGTTGTTTCACGTCAGTTTTCTGTGAGGCCGTGGTATCATTCCGGTCGAGTCGGCCCATTCATGCCGAGGCATGGCTCTCTCCCACCCTTGAAGTTTTGTGTAAACTATCATTGTCATGAATTATAATAGGGTTTTTTTAATACTTTCAGGTTCAGAGTTAAGTCTCTATACAGTATTTACGTAGTAGCAACGATACTGGGACAAGTGATGATGTCTTATTTCTCTGTGCTACTGTTCTTTCAAACTGAAGTAACTTTGAGTACGATATGTAAGTAGTATTATTTTAATATCGAACAAAAAACACACATTAGATTAATATATGGGAAACCTACATGGATTTCATACATTATCTTTTTCCTTTCTGTTTAGATTGTTATAGAAAATCATGAAAATTCTTATTCAATTCCCAAAAAAAATGGATAGATATATCGTCGGGAATAGTGTAAATCCGCGAATCTACTATACGTAAATACTATACGTATCTGCTAAAGATCCAGTTTTACAGAGGAAGGTTAAATCAGAATAACTTTATTAATTCAATAAAGAGACTTATTAACAATGTGTCGAAATGAACTCGTGTCAAGGTGGTGGCAGCCAATTAAGATTTTGCTGGATTTGACTGCACAGTTGGCGCGGTGGCTGGGCAACCGGCTGCCGTGCAACGTGTTGCGGGTTCGATTCCCACACGGAACAACACTTTGTGTAATCCACACACACTTTGTAGTTTCGGGTCTGGGTGTCATGTGTATGTGCATATAAATGCATCCCGCATATAAATGCTAGTTCCGTGGATTTGCACTATCGCCAACGATATATAAACATCAAAAAGGCAACATTTTAGATATTTCCAGTTGGTTTGTACTTTGTCGATATCATTAACACATTCGTAAAGTACATTTGTAGAGCAAATAATAGAGTAGATGCCTAATTTTTATTTTAATGTCCATCTGGTAGATTATTTTAAATCATTAGACACGTATTTTTTATTTCCTTACAGAAACGAATACTTTCGACGATATATTGCTTTGAAATGTCGCGTGACGTCACTTCTATGTTTATTTTATACATAGAAATGACGTTTTAGCCCCCACTCCGAAACTTTGATTCGTTCCATCTAAGTATTGTTTTATTATACGACAAAATATAAAAATATGTGTCTAATATTTTTTCATTACGGACTAATTAGAGTTTTAATTTTCATACCCTGTCATCATCCCAATTATTGAGTTTCTTTAATACATAGAATAACAATCTATTTACATAAACGACAAGAAAACCTCAAAAACTGTTTCCCAATTCAAAAACGACCACGCAACCAATTTTAATTACACAACGACTTGTTTTCCAGCCAACATAATTTTTTACGTAACGGGCCTTATTTCGGCCATTTTGCTTCTAAAATTGGCCCAACAATGGCCGCTCCTAATGACGAAGGCTGTGGAAACTGAACGTGGTCTTACTGAGCTGTCTTTAGATAACAAAGTCGTTGTTCGAAGCAGTGTACTTGCTTATTTAGTTATGGCGCTGGCTATGGGTATGTGTTACATTTTTCTATGATAAGTAAGTAATGACTGCCTCGTCGGCCGAGTCTCGGCAAGGGGTCTCGGCAAGGGGTCTCGGGTTCGATTCTCGGGGCCGGTAAATTATTACTGGATTTAAAAAAAAATCTCAGTAGTAGCACGGAGTTTGGAATTGTGCCCAGTATATGGCAATCTGTCACTGTTAATCTCACTGTCACAATTCAAGTGGCGTCATTTGACGCATGCATGCATTCGTCAAAAACAAAGGCAGATTTATCGTTACCATTTCATCGACAGTTTTCATTGTTTTAAGCAAGATGCAAACATTTGTCATTTGTCGTTTGTGAAGAATGTTTGTATTCGTCAAATGATGCGACTTGGAAATTTACCATTATATTTAACACTGCTGGGAGGTATAGTAAATATTTTTTTATGTAATAGGATAATGTTTTTAATTATTTTTTCTTCCCTTTCAGTGGAACACATACTATGTACGAGTTTCAATATAAAATTCGTTATGTACTGCCTTCAAGAGGCTGGAGTCACCACCAACGTCATGGAGAACTATGTAGTACATAGAATGCCTTATATTTTTAACTATATACCTTACAGCTTTTTCAATGCTATCTTTTTTGAGGTATTTTGAACTTTGTTATTTATTTATTATGATATATATTTTAGTTTACTTTTTTCAAAACATAAAATTGTATGTAGTAATATCTGAAAAAGTTTTAATATTTAAATTAAAGTTCTACCCAACTATCGATTTTTACATTATTTTATTTACTAGGTACCATTGTCAAAAAAGTATAATTTGTTATTAATAAAATCGCTTTGCTAAAATTTTGAATATTTCCTATAATTTTCAGTACTTGTGTCTTCAATCAACATTTCTATGGAGTTTTAACGACGTGTTGATCACATGCTTCAGTATTTATATTACAGCGTATTTCAAAACATTAAACGCAGTTATTGCTAGTAATGCCAAAAAGGATAAGGTAATCTACATTGTATACTAGTATTTAGTTATGGGTCAAACTCGCCACAAACTCCTAAAACCGTAACTCCTGTAAGCCAGGATCTACAGTAGATACAACCATGAAAACACCGGAACACTGAAGTCGGCGCGTCCCAGGGACATGAGTAAACTGTCTTGGTTCCCGCAACGAAGTGAATCAGAAGATATTATAAGAGGGGAAAAAATGTATTAGGTAAAAATGTATAAAGTATGACTGCACGGTTGGTGCGGTCGCTGGGCAACCGGCTGCCGCGCAATGTGTCGCGGGTTCGATTCCCACACGGAACAACACTTTGTGTAACCCATAAATTGTTATTTCGGGTCTGGGTGCCATTGTGTTTGTGAACTTGTATGTTTGTAAACGCATCCTCGACACAGGAGAAAATCCAAAAAATAAGTTTCATAATGTCATTTTAAGATAAGCAGTCGGCGAGCTTGTGGTGATCGTACAATAGAATACATATTTCATCACCCCTGCTCTTCCCTTTGGCACAGTCAGAACCGAGTAATAGACTGCACATTTGAAACCAGGAAACCAGCAGCGTTTTCTGCCATACCCGAGGGCTTAGTACGAAACGAGACCGCGTTCGACATTCTGATTGGTTGGTTAATTGTAGCCGGCCAATCAGAGTGCCGGACGCGGTCTCCTTTCGATTACTTTAAAATATTATACATACTTTCTTTTAGGATAGTATTCCCTGGTCAATACTTCGAGTGCATTACTCCAATTTGGTGAAGTTGGTCAAAGAGATAGATGACAATATCAGTTCATTGATTCTCCTGTCCTTCTTCACTGATCTGTTCTACATCTGTCTTCAACTCTTCAATTCGTTGCAGTAAGTCATTCAATAATGATTAGTTTAAAATAACAGTCTATTGTTATATTACTAGCACAGGAGTCGACAACAGAAGCTGAGAACAAATGCACATTAATAGGAGTGATTACAGGGTATGAAAATAAAAATGTAATAAAAATGTAATGAAAAAATATTAGACACGTATTTTTTTATTTTGTTGTTTAATAAAATGATACTTAGATATAACGAACCAAAGTCTAGGAGTGAGGGCTAAAACGTCATTTCTAGATACGTATAAATGTACATAGAAGTGACGTCACGCGATTTCAAATCAATATATATTCGAAACTATTCGTTTCCGTAAAAAAATAAAAAATACGTGTTTAATGTTTTTAAATAATCTACAAGACGGACATTAAAATAAAAATTATTCATCTACCCTATTCTCTCACATATGCAACTATTTTTAGTTCTCAACGCAGTTGCCTAATCTTGACGAAAATACAGTTTAATTCTTTGCTACGAATACGTTCTGAAAGGTCTAAATAATTTCTTATTAACAAATAATACGCTTAAATACCATAATATTATGAATAAATATATACAACTTAAAATTAACTAAACCTAAAAAAGCTAATAAAAAAAGATAATAGAAGGAATGAAATTCTGTCAGTAATATTGAATATAAATTTTCTTATTATTAAACCCTTTTAAGTTTAATATTAATTGTTATTTTCTAATTATAACGTCATTCACTTTCTGTTTCAGCCGGAACCACGTCAGTTTCAAGTACTGTGATGAAACGCAAACCAATCAGTAAGTAGATATTATCAGTATTTATATTAAAGTATCTTTAATACTTTATTTATTTATATATCTCTATCTATATTATTATAAACCATAGTGTTTTAAGACGGAAAAGACTACGGCAATCTTTAAAAAATCAACGATTGTGACAAAATTATTGAAACCTCAAAATTCAATTCCACCATCCGAATTATTCCCGTGGGTATTATATTAGCTAAGGAACTACGCATGTAACAAAAAATGGACAGCAGTACGCCCTCGGACCTAAACTAAAATCTTTTAAATCGTGATCTGTAATTCGCCTACCAGACGTGACGATTATGACTAAAGATCGCATTGCACACCTAATAAGCGCGTTCCGGGACAGTTCAAGCACATCTCAAGCACAGCTCTGGAACGACTCCAGCATGGCATTTTTGCTTTGGAAACAATACAAAAATATTGAAGGCGCACAGGCGCGAGGGCGGCACGCTTACAACCTTTTTATATTGACCTTATGAAGTATGTCATACGACATACGATTTAGAGTTCATATTTAAATGACAAGTTTATTGCTCGGTTGGAGCCGTACCGGAGCCTTGCTTGTTGGGTGTACAATGACGGTTTACTGTCAATATAGAAGAGGCATACCCATACAGAACTACCTCGGGCTGTTGATGAAGATGGTTTATCTATCTCTTTATGGATACGCGTCTATAAGTAAATAATTAATTTCATCATCATCATCAACAGCCTATAAATGCCCACTGCTGAGCAAAGCCTCTTCTCACACGGAGAAGGTTATAGCATTAATCACCACGCTTGCTCAATGCGGGTTGGCGATTTCAAACTTATAATTAGAAATTATAACTTCAGGTTTCCTCACGATGTTTTTCCTTCACCGTTTGTCAGTGGTGTCTAAATAATCTTAGAAAGTACATATAACTCGGAAAAAGTCACATTGGTACTTGCCGTTGGTAGGTTTCGAACCCGCACCCTCATCATAGTATAAAGAACAAAGTAGGTTATCTTCATACAAATGCTCCGCGCGCGGCTTATATGTGTGCGCCATAGTATCTATGCGTCGACGCACGCACACTTTAACAAAATCTCGACCCGTTTCTCAGTGCGCCAGGCAGGGCTAACACTGCACGAGGTTCGCGCGCGCATCCCTTTTCGGCACTGTTAAATGAAATAAAAAATGTCTGATAACCGTAGAAGAACGTATTGCTGTGTGTTTGGGTGTCTTAATAATTAATCGATTCCAGAACTGTCTCTGTTCAGATTACCTATTGAACAGGAAAGGTAAGCTAGTCACTTTTTCTAGCATAATATAGTTTGTAGGTACTTGATGATGAGATACCTACTTACTTATTCTTAATCTTATCATTCTTCATAGTTCCTACCAGTTCCTACTCAACGAGAAATGTAATACCTACTATACTTAAATATTATAAGAAAATGTGGTATTGTATTGTTTATTTCACAGTTTATCTGATTTGTTAAGAGCGTGGCCGTGTCGCATTTTTCCATACAAATGTATTCCCAAATTTACTTTCTGAATACTATGTATAGAGCTAAAGTTTATTTTAAGAAGTTAATAATCTTTTTATAAGCTTCTTATTTTTACTAAATTTATAAATTGATAAAATATTCAATCATAATATGCTTTTCATTTCATTAATTTAGATCAAGTGCTGCTTGTTCGAAAATATTAACTAAAAGTAAAAGTGACAACCCTGGGGATCAACGCAAGAGTAGGCTAATAACTCGGCGGGCGGCGTTAGATAACCTACTGTGTTCTTTATACTATGCCCTCATGCATGAGAAGTGGGCGTCTTAAACCTCCGGGCCACCACGACATATTATATACAATAATTAATTTAGTAACTTTTAATTTCAGAGCATTATCGTCACCATTCTACCTCCTTTACTACTTATACTCCTTCGTCTTCCTTGTACTCCGAGCTCTGATGCTGTCGCTTTTTGCGTCCAACGTACACTGTGCGGCTCTCGAACCTGTATACTCCGTGTATGATGTGCCATCAAGTGTTTATGATAATGAGGTGAGAATATCACTTAGCAGTTGGTACATTAACAATTTTAATTACATACAGTTTTGATTTGATCTTAAAATTACTACTGTTAGAATTAATTGTTAATGTTTAACATTTATTTCTTTTCGAATGTTACCCTACAATAGTATTTTTTTAACGTTGGAACCACACTAGGATTTTCTTCAGTGTCGTGCGTATACAAACATACAATTTCACATACACAACCACAACATAGCCACCCAGACACGAAACAACAATCTATGGATCACACAGAGTTGTTCTATGCGGGAATCGAACCTGCGACACGTTGCGCGGCAGCCAGTTGCCCAACCACCGCGCCAACCGTGCAGTGATTTCTTCAATTTCTTCTTTCTTTCTTGAGTCATGTCGTTGGTGCTAACATACAGTTTTGCAGACACGAAACAAGTGGATCACACAAAGAGTTATTCCATGCAGGAATCTAACCCGCTACACGTTGCGTGGTTGCTCAGCCATCGCGCCAACTGTGCGGTCATTCCCGCACAGAACAACTCTTTGTGTGATCCACGGATTGTTGTGTCGGGTCTGGGTGTCATGTGTATGTGAACTTGTATGTTTGTAAACGCACCCACGACACAGGAGTAAATTCTAGTGTGGGGCAACGTTTAAAAAATATATACAAAAGTATACCTACTTGTTGTCCAATTACTTTCAAGGCAATTACTTATCATGAACCTACTCAAGATAAGTTGTAATGATCTCATTTTAGTGACCTATGTGTTAACTATAGATGGGGCCACGGGTGCGTAGAGTGGGGACTCTAGGTGCCCACCCTGTGGTCTCAGGGAAGACGGTGGCACAGTGGTCACGTGCCGCCGTACACAGCAAGGCTTAAAGTAGACCCCCGTCTCCGTAGGGATGTGTCGTAACAGGCGTTGCACCGTGGGGGCTCCGGAGCAGGTCTCTTTTAGAGGACCCGGTGCCTCCATTCAGGTGTTGAGGGTCACCGGGGTGGTTTTAGTGAGGTAAAAATCCCACACTCCCTAGTCTTTTATCCCCAAAAAAGGCTGGGCGCCCTTTGAAGGTTTCCCCCCGTCATCAAAAAAATATATGTTTTTTTGTGCAAAAATGCTTTTTACTGCTAAAGTCTTAAAGTCTATATTTCGATAATTGAATAATAATTATATTTCTAGGTCCGCCGTTTTCAGTTACAGTTACATTACACTGAAGTCGGACTTAGTGGGAAGTTTTTCTACGTGACTCGGAACATGATATTAAAGGTTTGAGTTCAATTAGCTCCTCATTTATTATATTTTTCGTATTATTTTGATTCATCATCATCAACAGCTATTAAATGCCCACTGCTGAGCAAAGCCTCTTCTCACACGGAGAAGGTTTGAGCATTAATCACCACGCTTGCTCAATGCGGGTTGGCGATTTCAAACTAATAATAAGAAATTATAAGTTCAGGTTTCCTCACGATGTTTTCCTTCACCGTTTGTCAGTGGTGTCTAAATAATCTTAGAAAGTACATATAACTCGGAAAAAGTCACATTGGTACTAGCCGTTGGTAGGTTTCGAACCGGCACCCACATTCATGAGAAGCTGGCGTCTTAAACCTCTTGGCCACCACGACATGTATATTATTATTATTTTGATTGCACTAGTTTTTAAAGGTTTCGGAAGCAGAGAAGTATTTTTGCTTGAGTTTCATTCCTGAGCAAGACTTCATACTTTCTAAAGGTTTTGAAAACGAATAATCTAAAAGATTTTACAGTGAAACCGATTGCCTCATTGCCGACTGGTCGCAAATGCGACTGCCGGACAAGGGGTCTCGAGATCGATTGCCGGGTCGGGCAAAGTATTACTGGAGTTTTTTCAAAATTCTCAGTATTAGCACGGAGTCTAGAATTGTGCCCGGTATATGGCAATAGACTCACCCCCTATTAAATGGGACTCATAACATAAATAGTGAAAAGTAGATGTTACATTCTCTGCCTACCCCTTCGGCGATAAAAAGGCGCGATGGTATGTTATGTTATTTTACAGTGAAAAGTAAACTTTACACATAACACTTACAGACACTTAACCATAGCTATTTAAAATGGTTTATTAATTTACTAATATTTTTAAATTATCTTCTTTCAGGTAGTGGGCACAATAATAACATATGAAATAGTTCTCCTACAGTACTCTGTGACGCCAAATTCTTACTACAACGTTAGTACAACCGCAGCTACTGTTGTTGATAATGTTACTAATTTATATGGAAAAACATAATAAAAAAAACTTCAATTCCTTTATATGATCACTTTTTACTGTGTATTGATAGTTCATATTATATTAAGAACAATCTTTCTAGAATAAAATAAATAAACCTTTGAAGCTGAATTTTTTCTTTTTCTCATTTTATTTTAACTCTGCTGCTACATTGAGCCACTCTTAGTAGTATACTACAAAAAGGTTATTGTAAAAATCAACCAACTCTTGATCCAAAATTCTATAAAAGAAACGTACTGTATCCAGCCTCCCATACACGTGGAGAACCTAACCTACCTACCGCGGGTTACCGGGCTTTGAGCTCGACGTTCAGGAGAAGGAACGGGGTGGTTTTTAGTCAGTAAGAGTCTGACACTTCCTCCCACCTCACCCAGGCGGGAGCAGTCATTCGATGATTATCCCCCCTTAAAAAAAATACATTACATTTCATTTCAAAATTAATCATACGCTAACAACACTCAAAAACACAACTTTAACATGAACGTATAAAATGCAACTCTGACATCGTGAAGTCGGTTCTAGCACTTAATTAATGCCAGAACGTCATATGTGAGCTATAAACTACATAGGTAGTTGAAACAGGGACGACCAACTCTAGGTGCATCTTGATTAAAAACATACTGGTTTGGTACTATCGACGAAATCAACAGCTACCCGCCCTCATGCACCCGCCAGTGTGCGATGGAACGATTATTAAAAATGAAAATTCGACAACTTATGTGTTAGAACACCGATATTAGATTTGCTTTACTTTATTATATTGTATATATCTTTTTATATAGTTACCAAGATATTATTCAGAAGTAATAAAAAATTAAATCGTCTTTTAAATCCATGAAACAGTTTTGCGAAACTTTGAATCAGTGGTTGCTAAATTCCTTGGCTTATGGCTTATGTAGTCTTATCCATTGTGGGAGACCTATATTCAACAGTAGACGTCTTGTAGGTGATATAGTATGTATCTATAGAATAAAATATTTATTCTCTGAGTACACAACGTTTTTTGAGTTTTTGCTAGCATCAAAACATTTGTCTCACAATGGTACCAAAAAATTTGTTGATTGTACTTCCCGCAGCTGAAAGTCATATGACAACCTGTCGCAGTTTGAAGCAAGTAATTCCCATGTGGCTTACATTTGCTCCACGAGGCTCTGGGGAATTAATTAATTCATTATTGCATGTTTATGTACGTGGAGGTACATTCATTAACACAAAGTAATTTTTTATCGAGTCATTTTATTGTTGAAGAATTATAATAGTAGTGGTTGGACGCGAAATCGAAGATCAAGCTTTTAGTGGGGTGCTATTCGACAGGCCTCTGTCCTATAGTAGGCGATGGACTGATTTGATATATGAAAACCAATAACATCGTATGGTCGTTCTTGATAATGAACCCTATGACCATGTCAACAAGAGATACGTTTGATTCCTCTACTAGTAAATTAGGCAACAGATAATAACTTCAGTGTCTATTTCTCATCAATCATTGTATCAGTTATTAAAATATTTTTATGGCATATGCTGGTAAACGAACTGACTAATCATCTGATGGTAAGCAACTGTCCTAAGATCACTTTTACCACTAAAGGAATAGATGTTAAAAAGTAATGGACATTAAATTATAGAATATTTTTTGTACATTTACTTGTTTTATAGGATAAGCCGGTAAACGACCAGACGGATCACCTGATGGTAAGCAATCGGCGTCGCCCATGGACACCTCACTTACACGACGAAACACAACGCAAGTAATGTTTCACGTCGGTTTTCTGTAAGGCTGTTGTATCATTCTGGAGTTGGCCCATTCGTGCCGAAACACGGCTCTTTCACACTTGCCCACACACCAACCTAAACTTTAATAAAAAAGAACTATCATAAAACATTTTTCAATCTCTATTCTCTCGTTTAACACATACATTAAAACCCGTTTACTTTACTTTTTGTCTCGTTTTACATCAATTACGTAATAAAATACAATTTTTCATAGACTCCATGTCAGTTTGTAGTTACGATCTGATGCCTCGACAAATAAGTCAGTAAAATTACAATGTTACACTAAATTACTATGGTTCTCAAAGCTTGTGTTGTTCACCATATTACGACATGTTTTAAATTACGTTTAGTTTTATATTTGGTCTTAAAACTTTGTGCAAAATCGCTCATTTTAATGTTTATTAGGATTTAAAATTTTCGTTGAAAGTTTTAAAGTTTAAAAGTGCTAAACAGAATTAATTAAAAATTATATACCTAAAAATTGCGGGTTACTCACGTAAAATTGCTGAGAAAAGCTCTACTAGTTTCGAGCCACTGAGGGGTTCTTCTTTATAAGCAACGTACGCTGTCACGGCGATGTCGCACAAGATTTAATACGCTTTAATAAGTATATACTTTAATAATAGTATACTTTAATAAGATGCGACATCATATTGTAAAGATGTGCGAGCTCCCTTTACGCATCGCAAGAATCGCATTAATTTTCGTCGTAATTTTCTGCGTTGCGAATTCGCATCGCAGTTTTGTGTACGAGCCCTATGGCTGATGATTTTGTTGTTCTATTATAGTTTAAGTTTCTTATATCCAGGGATCTATATATTTATACTAAGAATTTAGTGGGTAAAACTACTACATCTGTAGCACAATAAACTAGAAGTCAGTTTTAAAATTGTCGCTATGTTTTTTTTTATACCTTGGATTTTACACACATTTTAAGTTTAATAATAAGTATGCAAATCCTTGTTAAACAATAAATAAATTACTTTAATAAGTAAGAACAACGCTATAAATTTGTATTCAAAGCCTAAAGATTAAATTATTTTTTATTGTTGAGTACCACTGTCTCAGGAAGACACGTAAAAATGTCGTTAAGACGCTTCTATTGTTATCTAGAACCTAATTCGTCTTCACGCTCATTTCATTTAAGAGGGTGGGCAGTACTCTAAGTAAACTACAAAGTTGGGTCTCAGGAAATATGTGTTTTATAGAACAAGCTTTCAAGTTTTATAGGTTAATAAATGTATGATATATGGCTCGGAATGAGTTTGAGTTAAAATGTAATGCAATCACAGTCTTGTCGAATACATTTTATGTATTTTGTTAACTTAGTATGTATTATACTCAATCAATGTTATTATTTTAGTTTTATTACTCAGTTTATGTTTATAACATATAACTACGACTGTTTGACTAACCAATTTCTACTTGAATAGTTTATTTTTTACATGTAGTTGGTTTATGTAGTAGGTTTATACACAGTAAATAAAGAATGAAATTCTAAAAATTAAATGTTGTGATGTTAATGGTCGCTTTGGAAATTGTTAGTATTTTTTTAAGACAAACTAGCGAATGGAACGATGATAAGCGATTAGCGCCGCCCATGGACACCCACAACACCAGAGGAACCACAGGTGCGTATCCGGCCTTTTAAAATGGATTTAAAGAAAGCCTCCGCTAAATAGACGAGCGTTAACAATATGAATTCTTCAATAGCTATGTCTAAATAGTATCGGATTGTAATTTCATTAACACAAACTGAATAACTATTATAATAACTATCGTGAGACATGCTGAATTAACTAAAACTTACTTCCTAAACTAGTCTGCGCGACGTTGCCACGA